CTGCAGTTGAGAGTACTATAATCAGATTGCTACTTTGGACTATGTCAATTATAGCAGCATCTTCAGGTTTATGTCACAAATCATTATCCTCAGCAAACTGGACCTGACTTTAAAAAGGAAAGTCATTTGTGTGTATTGTTGTTTTTTTAAACACTGATCCTAGGACTGTAAATTGGAGTGAAAGCAAATGTTCAGAATTTGGAAGCATATCTTGGCTTAAAAACAATTCCAAATAATTGAACATGGCATATGGTAAGCAAGTTACTCTCTCCTCCTTGTTCTAGACTTATAATCAACTATAGATAGTCCAACAGTGGATAATCTAACTTTATTGGTCAGATTCTTATGCCCATATTCTAATAAGATTGCCAAATCTTTAGTGTTCTTACCCTTTCTGTTTTGAATATTGTCTCCGCTCTATGCTCTGCCATCCCCAACTAATCCAGTGAAAGAACTGGAGATCAATTACAAGGCTCAAAGTTTTATTCTAACCTCTTAATGAATGAAAAAATATTTCTCACATTGTTGCATAAGAAAAATATAGATATGCGAAATGAAACTTCCCTTGAGATTTCGTTAGTATTTCCAAAATAATTAACCTCAGGAAACCACTGATCCCAATTCTAAATTTAAGCTCTCATTCAATTTTAATCGAATGGGTGAAAATAATGGTGATAGCCAAGTATTAACATTTGCTGAGCACTACCATGTGCTAAGCAGTGGTCTAAGTGCCTTAAATATATTTTCTCATTTATCTTTAGCAACTCTATGACATAGCTGAATCTCCATTTTATAGGTGAGGAAATTGAGGGACAGAGAGGTTAAGTAAGATAACCATGGTTATGAACTGGTTGAGCAGACTGACATTCCAGGCTATGCTTTGATTATTTTAAATTATATATATGTTAAAAATACCACAGAGCTCATCTTAATTTCAGCTTATTGAGAGTCAATGAGACAGATTTTCACTGGTTTAAATAATGATCAAAACTCTTGAGAGAGGAGATATTGGGAAATGATTTATCTTTTAAAGTCTGACAATGAAAGAAGCAAGATGTTTCATTTTAATCATCTAGATCAGAAGTTCTCAAACTTTTTGGACTCAGGACTACCTTAAAAGCTTAAAAATTATTAAGGATCCCAAGTGCTCTTATTTATATGAGTTATATCTATAAATTATTAGCATATAAGAAATTAAAACTAAGAACATTTCAAAACACAAGGATGCACAAACACATGTTCCATTATCTGCCAGAGTGATGATGACATCACATGTCTTGTCGCTTCTGTAAAACTCCCCTGTATACTCATGAGTGAATGAGGGTGAAAAGCACAAATAATATTCTAGGATTATTATGAAATAGTCTTGATCTCATGGACACTCAGAAGAGACCACACTTTGGGAGCTGCTGATCAAAAATTATGGATCTTCTTTGGTGAAGGGTAAGACAGTACACAATACTGGGGAAGCCAGCACAACTTGTTCAAGGAAAGGTCATGGAAGCTGCATAGACACATCCAAACTCCCTGAGGAACTGAATTGCTGGGCTGAGGGCTGTGGGGACTATGGTCTCGGGGAACATCTAGCTCAACTGGTATAACACAGTTTATAAAGACAATGTTCTACATTCTACCTTGGTGAGTAGCTTCTGGGGTCTTAAAAGCCTATGAGCAGTCATCTAAGATACTCCACTGGTCTCATCCCTTAGGGAGCAAGGGAGACTGAAGAGAACAGGATACATGGAAAAGATTACTCCAAAGGACTAATGGACCACATCTACCAAGGCCTCCCCTAGACTGAATCCAGTACAGCTAGTTGGTGTCCGGCTACCACCACTGACTGCTCTGACCGGGATCACAACAGAGGGCTCTGGACAGAGCTGGAGAAAGATGTAGAACAAAATTCTAATGCACAAAAAAAGACCAGATTTACTAGCCTGACAGAGACTGGAGAAACCCCAAGAGTATGGCTCCCTGACACCCTTTTAGCTCAGTAGTGAAGTCACTCCCAAGGTTCACCGTTCAGCCAGGGATTGGAAAGCCGTATCAAACAAAACAGGACTAATGAGGCACAGCAGTCCAGGGACAAGGACTAGAAGGCAAGAGGGGACAGGAAAGCTGGTGATAGAGAATCCAAGGTTGAGTAAGGAAAGTGTTGACATGCAGTGGGGTTCTTAACCATTGTCATAGGGCAACATGTGTACTAACTGTTTAATGAGAGACTATTTTGTTCTGTAAACCTTCGTCTAAGTAAGAATAGCGGCACAACTGTAAGAACGTAATTGACATCACTGAATTGTACATGTAGAAATTTTTGAAATGGTGTATCTTTGGCTATGTAAAAAAGTCCTCCAAGGCCAACAAGGGAGCGTGTTGACATGTCATGGGGTTGTTAACCAATGTCATGAAACAATGTGTGTACTGACTGTTTAATGAGAAAATAATTGTTCTGTAAACCTTTACCTAAAATACAATTTAAAAAAAAATTATGGATCTTATCTTGGCCCTTTTCCTCAATAAATGTCTTTAATACTGAGCCAAAAAAAGAAAAGGTAAGATATTCTACAAGATAACATGTGAGTAAAGTGGTTGAAGTTGATCTTCTGATTACCTTTTGGTCATTCTGTTAGGACATAAATGCCTGAGCATAGTGGCTAGTTCAGAATGATATGTATACTTATTAGTTCACTGCCAAATGTCAGTCAATGCACAGACACCTGAAGAGACTGTTGTGAAGGAGTATAATCTATCATATTAAAGTACTGAGGTGACATAGAAAAAATAATAATCTCTCTGAAGGGCACCCCCTGCAAGGTGACTAAGGCATATTTGAGCCAGGGGTTGGATTCAGAGGACCCAACAGTGTGTAGTGCTTCCCAGTGGAGTTAAGAATGGCTCAAGCCAGAGAGTAAAGCCACAATCCACCAAACAGAGCTGAGCCAGACGGTATGGTGAGAGAACGTTAACACTTCAAGTCCAAGGGAATATCTAGAGTCAATAGTAGATCTGGGGACAGGAAGCAAGGATTTTAATTATTCAGAATTATTTCTAGAGAATGCAGGTCTAGAAAAATTGAGGAAGATCTATGGTGATACCTGCAAACAACTTCAGTGTATCATTGGATGACATTTATCAGTGGGTCAGTGGGTCTACCCGTGGGTGTGATATGCTGGTTTAAGGGGTGGAAGTAGTTCCATAGCATTGAAATTGAATGATTGGTTTAGATGAATTCTAAGATCTCATCTTCCTAGAAAGGAAGGAAGGAAGAAAACAAAAAACAAAATTTCTAATTCAATGAGTCCTCCTTACTTTGACCAAATCACCTCGCCACTTACAACAATTAAAAATAGCAGCAAGCAATATTATTTTCACCTCTAAACCATGTATATGAGGGACCATAATGGAACAAATAGAGCTTTCATTTTAAAGTTGTGTTTTTCTTTTGTTTTTAATCAATTCAGACATACATACACACACTCATAGATACACACACAAAACCAAGACTGAATGATACTAACATTCCAAAAACATAGAATTTTTGCATCACAGCAAATTCAAAGTCAGCTTAAAATGTTTATCATTTCTAAATTAGATTACTTGATTATACTCATTTATTTTCTATTTCTATAGATTGAGTTTATAAAAATTAGGGCAATACAAGAAAAAAAGTGAGAGGAATGGTATTGGTGCTTTCTGTGTCTCACTCTCAAAACCCCATCAAATACGTGCATATGAATACAACAGTCTGAAACTATTCTATTATCCTGTTCTTTCTCAAGCACTCGCCTTTAGGTGAATGAGGCTCTGCAGCAAGAATTATGTGACAGCATAACCTTTATGAAACAGCTGAGGCGTCCTTGTATTAACAAGCAGTGAATCCTAAAACAGCAGCCAACATGTTGGTTAGATGTCCATCATTTCCAAATGCCCCATCTGACAGTTTCCTGGAGTTCAGAGACAAACAGTCAGGCATATGCCACAATTTTACATTAAACATTTTACTGCAGAGGAAGCAATTCACTACAGAGCAAGTTTTGCCTCCTTGTCTTGGACTGCCCTATAGATAAAATTAGACATAAAGATTTTGAAGAGACACAGTGGATACAGATAGGCACATCCCAGTGGGGGTCAGGTAACAACCTCTACTTTACTACCGTCCCGAAGTACCTCTGCCTAAGGAGACAATCCTTCTGAGCATGAGCAGGGAGAAACTGCAGATTCTTAACTTTGGGCATGTAGCCAAGCTAGTCCCTAAACCTGGCCAACGTAAGGTACTACATCCTCATCTACTAAAACATGTTGGACCACGTGTTGTTTAAAGTCTTGTAGTTAAATATCCTGAGTTTAAGCTAAGATTTATTTCACAAGAGGAGTCTCTGTTTTTGACAGTTGAGTTCTACATCTTAATGCAAGTTTTTGCCTTACTTTAACTCCTTTTAGTCCGAGCAGAGGAATCCCTGCGTGGTACAAATGGTTAATGAGCTCAGCTACTAACCAAAAGGTTGGAGGTCCATCTGGAGATGCCTGGGAAGAAAGGCCTGGTGATCTACTTCTGAAAAACCAGCCACTGAAAACCTTAAGGATCATAGTTCTACTTCGACACGCATGCGGTTGCCATGAGTCAGAATCAACTCTTCTGCAACTGATTTAATCCAAGTAGAAGCTTTCAAAATACTCATGATTAAAGACAAAAAGGCAAATTAGTCTTTACAGTTTTCAGTTCAGAGACAGTTTCAAAAGGCAAGGATTCTTTTTAAAGTGTTTTATCTCAAAACTCTGTGTTGCCATGTCCATCTGTAAAGGCAATATGATATCAGAACAACAGATGCCCTGGGTGTCTTTTCCTCTACAGAAGGGCCTAGACAGTATCAAAAGCATCTCCGGAGGCTGCCACAGGAAGTACATGTGAGGCTGGTAGCCTTGTTAGAGACCAGACAGAACGCAGGGCTTTGGAAACATGAGCAATTCACACAGCCTTGAACACAGATCTTCTCCTTTGCCACTCTTGCCCTGATGTTTTGCAAATTGCACGTCATCCTTGTACAGGGGCCATGCTAATCTTCTCTGTATTGTTCCAAAATTAGTGTATGTGCTGCTGAAACAAGCACTCTTGCCCTAATGTTGAAATGTTTGAGAATTCCAGAGTTCTGTTTGTTATTAAGACAAAAGCTGATTTTCTATTTAGGTTTGGTTCTTGCCTTAACAAGACAACTCTAAAATGACTTTTTTGTAAAGCCAGAGGCAGTGGTGACGTTAGGGCTCCAGCAACATCACCATAAACACCACCAAAAAAAGATTTGGAATTAATGTGGCAAAAATGCTCCATTTCTTTTGCAGCTCAAGTCATTGAATCCATGCTGCAGTCTTTTTAAATTTTTTTTCTATTCACCACGGTCACCTTCAGACAAAGAATGTGTTACTGCTTCCCATGATTGTTCCAGACAAATGGAGCTGGATACAATAGGAAGCTTATTTCAAACTACGTGCTCACTGAGTCATTATTCTCAGCAATGTACATTTATAATCATGTATAGAAGTGGTAAAGAAAGGTGTATGATGACCTGTATCAATAAATACTTACTCAAGTAACAGCTAACTTCCAGCTATTTCTTGGAATTCTCTGTTCTTGTGAAATATCCCATGATGTGTGGATTACCTCATATTTTAAAAATACCAAAAAACTTTTCAGTGACCAAAACTGCAAATCCCATGATGCCCACACCAGCTTCCTTCTTGTTTCTCTGCCCTGCTTCACAAAACACTTTTCAAAAGGATTGTCCACAAACTGTCTCCTCTTCTCTTGCATTCACTTTTCAGCACATGCTAATCTGGGTTGCAATCCCACAACTCTACTGAAATACTCTAGTCAAGATAATCAACGATCCATGCTGCCAGATCAGAAGACACAAGTATCCTCACTTTATTGAAGTCTTCAGTAGCACTTGACATGAATGGCCATTCCTTCCTCCTTGAAGCAGCCCCTGTTCCAGACGTAGTGTCGCTACGCCTACTGGCTTTCCTCCTACCCCCTGGCCCCTCCTTCTCCTTTGTTTCATTTTCCTCCTCTACCAAAATGCCATGTGCAGGAGTGTCTCAGGACTCAATAGTAAGCTTGCTTCCTTTTTCTATCTACACTCTGTGATTCATGTTGCTTCAAGTACCACGTATGCATTGACTCCCAGATTTATATCTCTAATCTAGAATTGTCCTTTCTGAGCCTCAGACACATAAATAGGTAGACAGGTAGATGACAGATAGATAGACAGGCAGACAGACAAGCAGACAGACAGAGAGATGACAGACAGGCAGATAAGCAGGCAGACAGGCAGATAGACAGACAAGTAGGCAGACAGGCAGGCAGACAGATAGATACAAAGACAGACAGGCAAGCAGGCAGGCAGACAGACAGACAAATAGGTAGAAAGATAAAAAGTCACATCTCTACTTAGATGTTTTGTAAGCATCTGTCTTAGTTTCCTAGTTCTGATGCAACAAAAATACTACAAGGGAGTGGCTTTAAAGAACATAAGTTTATTTTCTCACAGCTATAAAGGTTACAAGTCCAAATTTAAGGTGTGGTTCTATAGGAAAGTTCTTCTTTGTTCATTTCAGCTTCTAGTAGCCAGCAATCCTTGGAGTTCCTGGGCTTGTAGATTCATCTGCCTCCATCTTCACATAGTGTCTGTCTTCTCCCATGTCTGTGTGGGTGTATGTGTATCTCTGTGTCTATGCTTCTCTTTGCAGAACTCAGAAGTGATTAGGTTTAGGACCCGCCCTGTATCTGTACGACCTCAACTGTCTGATTGGTCACATTACATTAATTGCATTACTTTATGTTATGTTACATTACTTTATGTTACATTACATACACAGGTATACCCATTGCCATCGAGTTAACTCTGACTCATAGCAATCCTATACAATCGAGTAGAACTGCCCTGTAGGGTTTCCAAGGCTGTAAATCTTTATGGAAACAGACTACCACATCTTTCTCTCACAGAGTGGCTAGCGTGTTCAAACTGCTGAGCTTTCACTTAGCAGCTAAATGCTTAACCACAGCACCACCAGAGCTCCTGTCTCAAATATAGACGGTTCAAAGTAGCAAATCCAAAAGGGAGCTTTTCCAACCCATCCAAATCTCCAAATCTGTTTCTCTCAGTAATTAAGACGGCCAATCGTGTAGTTATCGAAGCCACCAAGGCAAGTGTTATTTTTATTTACTTTCTTCCCATTACCTTTCATAGCTCATTGTGATGGTTAAGGTTGTATGTCAACTTGGCTGGGCCATGATTCTCAGTGATTTGACAGTGGTATGATGTCGTGATCACATCCATAATGAGATTTGACATGATGTGATCATCTCCATGATGGAATCTGCCATGAGTAGCCAATCAGCTGAAAGGGAGTTTCCTTGGGCGTGTGGCCTGCATTGAATATGAGTGGACATTCTGGCAAGGCTTGTGGGCTTTTGCTCATAGTGGATCTTGCAGCTGGCTCCTGTTTTTCTGACCTCCAGTTCTTGGGACTTGAGCTAGCAGCTTATCTGTAGTCTTACCTCCCAATCTTGGGATTTATTGATCTTCACAGCCCATAAGCAAGAGCCCTGCTCTCCAACCTACCAATCTTGGGTTCATCAGCCCCTGTGGACACGTGTGTCAGGAGAAGCCTCTATCCTGACCTACAGACTTGGGACCTTCCAGCCTCTACAACCACGTGAACCAGTTCCTTGATATAAATCTGTCTCTCTCTCTCTCTATGTATATATATATATACATATTTATATGCTTTATTGGCTTTGCTTTTCTAGAGAAGCCAGACTAAGACACTCACTAACAATGAATCCTACCAGTTCACCTCAAAAAATGCTTCTCTAATTCACGTACTTCTCTCTTTTCCACTGTTGTCTCTCTAACCAAGCTATCAACATTCCTGGTCTGAACTTTTGGGGAAAAAAAAAAAAACCTTAAGAGTTTGCTCTGCTTCTACATTTTACTTTGTACAATGTGCTTTTCTACACAGAAATGCGATGCCTTAAAATCATAAATCTGACTATGTTAACCCTTTGTTTGAAAACTTTTATTGCTCTCTGTTAACTTAGAAGAAAATCCAAACTTCTCATCATGAACCAAGGCTCTGCATGCTTAAGCCTCTGCCTCATCTATGCCATTTCCCCCTTCCTGGTTACCTTCTAGCCATATTTGTCTCCTTTCTTGATTTCTAAAATATACACTGAGACTGTTTTCTAATTCAGGCCTTTGCATTTGCTGCCATTTTTTGCCTGGAATGCTCTACCCAACACCATTTTATAGGTAGTATAATAATGTAAAATTATTTAACCACACATCTATTTATGCAGTGCCAAATAGACAGTAAGTTCCACAAAAGAAGTAACCACGTCTACTTTGTTTTCACAGTATATTCATAACCTGGTACGTAGTAAGTACCTAGTACCTGGCGCAGCATAATGTTATGTAAGACCTGAAATTAAGTTCCTATTATGTGCTGCCTTGACATCTCATAAAATATAAAAACCAAAATCCATTACTACTGAGTCAATTACAACTGATAGCAACCCTATAAGACAAAGTAGAACTGCCCCATAGAGTTTCTAATGAGTGGCTGATAGATTCAAACTGCCGACCTTTTGGTTAGCAGCTGAACTCTTAACCACTGCGCCAATATAGAAGGCCTCAAATGGCCTAGCTGCCTGTCCCTGTACCCACTTTGCTCCTGTGGATAAAGTCCCCTAGCTAAACAACCCTCCTCATCACAGAATCACTCACAGTGCCAACTTATTCCTGAGTAACAAGTTTCAGTTCCCTGACAACCCACAGAATTATTCAAACAAGCCAATCACATCTTCTCACAGGAACCAGAGGCACCCCACCCTCTTGATACTACAAAGTCAACAATTCACAGCTCCTTGGTGGTTCATCCTGTTCCTAAGAGCAAGCCTCAGGTGGCCCTGCATGGTGTGTGGTGCCCTCCTCTCTCAGGCTGTAACTATAGATGACTAATAAACTTCTCCTGATCTTATCTTTCCAGTGTCAGCTGTCATGTGTCCAGCCATTCTCGTAACACCAGGGCATCAATCCCTCCCTTGTCAGTGAGGTGAAGAGGAGACAATCAAAACACATAGGCACACAATAAATACTCATTTAATTCTTTAATAATTTAATTCATGTAGCATAATTATTAAAGTACTGGAATATTATACTAAGCTGAATGGATTTTTCCCATTAGTCTTTTTCCTTCTTATATTATTGTTTTAATATCTCATATGCTGAAAGTTATATCAATTTAGCTTTCTAGATTATTGTGTTAGTTATCTAGTGCTGCTATAACAGAAATACCACAAGTGGATAGCTTCAACAAACAGAAGATTTTTCTCTCACAGTCTAATAGGCTAGAAGTCTGAATTCAGGACATCAGCTCCAGGGGAAGGCTTTCTCTCTCTGTCAGCTCTGGAGGAAGGTCCTTCTCATCAACTTTCCTGTGGTCTAGGAGCTTCTCCGTGCAGGAACCTTGGATCCAAAGGACATGCTCTTCCCCCAGCACTGCCTTTTTTGGTGGTATGAGGTCCCTATGTCTCTCTGCTTGCTTCTCTCTTTTATATCTCAAAAGAGATTGGCTCAATACACAATTCAATCTTCAAGACTGAGTCTTGCCTCATTAACATAACTTCTGCTAATCCCATCTCATCACCATCATAGATACAGGATTTACAACAGATGGGAAAATCACATCAGATGACAAAATGGAGGACAATCATACAATACTGGGAATCATGGCCTAGCCAATTTGACACACACATTTTCGGGGGACACAATTCAATCCATGACAATTATGCAACCCAATTATATGATAAACAAAAGTCACACCATCACAGACCCCTCCATTTAAACCTGATGTGGCTTTAGAAAAACAGGAGAACTGAGGATAAAATGACATAATATTGTATGGGTGATTGTCATGGTTTGAATTATGTCCCCCCAAAAATGTGTGTATCAATTTGGCTGAACCATGATTCCCAGAATTGTGTGGTTGGCCTCCATTTTGTAATTGTAATTTTATGTTAGAGGATTAGGGTGGGATTGTAACACCACCC